TCTGCGCTCCGGACAGCAGGTCGGGCGCCTCCTCTCAGGGTGCCAGGTGCTACCGCCAATTCTGACAGACGACCGAGAAACTTGAAGCTCGCTTCTGGGGAGAGCATACTAAGATGTAGATTTGAGACTTGCCAAAACGGAAGCTGCATCTGGAAAGCCGTGTGTGAGTATTTTTGTATTAAAAGATTTTAAAGGCCTTTTGCTCAGACTTGCTTTGTGTGGGAGTGCGTTCTTCGGTCTGGGGCTTCCTTCCACTTCCCGGTCGGCGGCTGTCGTGCGTTCGGGGGGCGCGGTCCTCGGACGTCGTCCTGCTTTTGACTCTCGGGGCGAGGCCGACATGGCCCTGGACGTGCAACAAACACCACAAGCAGTGCTGTTCTGATTCTGGAAAAAAGTGTTTCCCCTACCATAAATAACTTGGTTCCCAGACTCCCCGTAAGAGTGAGGCGGCCAGGAGAGGACGCCGCGGACGCCCCTCCCCCGGCGCCGACCCCCAGGCAGAGCGGAGGGTGGGCTGGCTAGAAACATAGCTCTGGTGCTTTCTTTAGAAAAGCTGAACTTTAATTACTCAGACAGTCTTTACAGTGGAAACAAGTACCCGAGGCCTGGTCTTAAATGCGTACGACTGTACGAGAGGCACAAGACCGCAGGCGGGGGACGCGGCCTGACGTCCCTGGCGCCACCCCCACCTGTCCTCAGCCACGCCGGGCGCCGCCCACGGTGCCGCCCACGGTGCCCTCGCCTCCTGGGTCAGGGGCTGCAAGAGCAAGGAAGAGCCCTCCCTCAAGGCCAGTGGAATTTAAGAAGAAAATTAAAAAAAGAAGTCGAACTGTCAGAGCTGTCCCTAAGATTAGGAAATTACAGCTTTCTGGGCTAAGTTTAACATTCAAAAATGTAATATTGAATCCAAAAAAGTGTCTTAAATCACACAAAAGGGAGCCCATACTAAAACTTAGAAAACAAGTCCGAACCCCGAGGCGGGGCCTGCAGCGTGGGCGGCTGCGGCCTCAGGACACGTTGGCCATGGGCTTGTACTTCTTGAAGCGCGTCCACTGGCCCGTGGCGTAGTTCATCTCGAAGACGGTGTCCACCAGCATGGTGGTGCTGCCCTGGCCGTCCGACTTGGGCAGGTCCTCCGTGTGCTCGCTCAGCTTGATCTGGATCACGTCGCCCTGCTCCTGGCAGGGATTCTCTGCAGGGGAAGAGGCTGCTGGGCGGAAGGGGTCGGGGGCCAACCCCCGACCCCTCCCTGGAGGACCCGCAGCCCGAAGCCCACCAGGCCGGCCACCAGACCCACCTCGGGAGCCGGCCATGAAGCCCAAGATGAGGGCCTTCTCGGGCCGCGTGACCTTATTGGCCGTCTTGAACATCTCCTGCGCGGCAAACATCTGCTCTCTCTGCAGTGGGAAGAGGGTGTGGGTGCCCGGACCCCGTTGCAGTGCTGGGGGGCCAGGCCATGTGCCCCCCGCCGCCTACACCTACCGTGAGCGACAGGTTCTTCTTGGGCTGCTGCTGGGCGGGGGGCTGGGCCTGGGGGGCCACCATGGCCACTGGAGGTGTCTGGGCGGGGGGGGTGACAGCTGGGGGCGTGGTGGGCGTCAGGGGCGAGGTGGGCGCAGTGGGTGTGGGTGCAGCAGGGCTTGGGCCGCTGTTGTACAAGGGCGCCCTCTGCTTGAACTGCGCGGGCAGTGCCGGGCTCGCGGCGCTGGGCTCCTCAGGCGGCCGGCTGGCCTGCAGGCTGGCTTCCCGGGAAGACGGGGCTGCAAGTGGAGTGAGGCCTGGTGAGGGGCCGGGGGGCAGGTACCCCACCCTGGGCTCTGCGCTCAGCCCGCGGCTCCTAGAGACGTGGACGGGGTCTGCTCTGCTGCCCGCTGACCCCGTGTCGCCCCAGAGCCCACACGCTGCCAGGCTTCTGTGACCCTGCACTTCCTGGAGGGTAGGGAGATTGTAGGGGTGGGCCCTGGCCCCAGGAAGGGCAAAGCAGGGGAGAACTTTGGGTTCGTTTCTTCAAGTTCACGCCGGCCAGGAGGGTCCTGGGTCTCCGGCCGGCTCCACTGAAGGAGAGGGACGAGGGACAGAGATGTCCTGACCCCCAAGGAAGCACCACGTGGGCAAGTCCTGGGGAGATGCTGCTCCCTCCTGGCGAGTAGGGGTCCCCCAGACCACGGAACACCGCCTGCGTGGGGCACCCCTCACCTGGCGGGGCCTCGGAGCTGGGGGCATAGGATGACGCCGGGACGACACTGGGCGTGGCGGGTAGGTAGCTCGTGGAGGGCAGCGCAGGCTCATTGTTCAAAGACCCGAGTTTCTGGAAGAAAGAGTCTGTGGTTCCTCCCAGAAGAGGCCGGGGGCTCAGCGCGTGCTTCCCCCAGACACCGGGCGGGTGGCTCTTCCACGGCCTCAGTGCCTCACCCCACTGGAGGGGCCCCGGCCCTGGAGCAGGACAAGGACACTGCTGTCCCCAGGGCTGGGGAGGGGACCTCTCTGGGCCCCACACTGGGCAGTGTGGGACTCCAAGCGTCCAGCCCTGGTCCCCGGCCTGGAGCTGCTGCAGCAGAGAGGCAGGGACCAGATGGTTCCCGTTTGGTGAAGGAGCCTCTCGAACAGCTGTCTGAGGAAAGGAGAAAGCTCGACCGTGTCTTTCCTTCCAGGAAAGCACACGATACAGGATGAGAGAAAACAGCTCTGCAAGAGGAAGAGTCACCTGCTGCCCAGAGACGGGCCTTCCCAGGCCCCCTGCAGCCACGCCTTCCACAAGGCGCACACTCGCCGTGCCCGGCGGCCCAGCCTCCCCGCCAGCAGAGGCCTCTGAGCGGGGACACCGCCAAGGAGCTCCCCGCACAGATCTGCGCAAACACGTGTGCACACGTACCCTCCAGCAGCCACAACGCGAACAGGAGGGACCCCGCTCCGGCTGCTGGAGGCGCTGAAGTCCTACCTGAGTGGATACCAGGCCGGCTGCATAGTCGGGGGTGGCGTTCTCGATGACCGTCTCCTCCTTGGCCGGCTTTTCCGCCACTTCTGCGTCTGCTGAGAAATCGGAGTCCTCAGTGGCCCGGCCACCATCCTGGCCCCGGCTCAGAGCAGGTCACCCGGGGGCACAGTCTCCAGGAGAAGCCGGCGACGAGCCCCCAGGGAAGGGCCACGCGCGGGGCTGACTCTCTCCAGCCAGAGATGAGGGAGACACAGGCCTCCACGAGCAGACGAAGCGGGGCCCCTAGGCAGCCAGCGCCCCCTCCGCAGACCTTGCCCGGAGGCCCCGCACACGCACCCAGCGTCTTCCTCCTCCTCTTCGCCTCCCGGCCGGCACCAACCATATCCAGCTCAGAAATGTCAAGGAGCTGTCAACACAGACAGAAGGCCACCCTCAGCCACAGTGAAGGCGTGCTGGGCCGGTCCCAGGGGCCGCAGAAGCCAGAGGGGCGCGCTCACCTTCACGCCCCTCTCCTTCCGCAGGGGCGTCCTGGAAGGCGGGATGGGAGTCCGGTTCCCGGTGGGGCTGAAGACACTGGGGGCAGTGGGGCTCCGGAAGGGTGCCTGCTTCGGGATGCCTTTGAGCGGGGCTGCAAAGAGGACGGCGGCCGTCAGGGCTTCAGACACTGTGACCAGCAGAGATGGCCCAGGGCGAGCTGCCCTAGGGGAGGACCACAGGGACCGCTCATCTGCCAACTCCACAGCCCCCGCACAGGGCTCCCATGGACAGACTGCGTCTCACGGCAGGGGCAGGTGGCACCCCCGGGACGCCTGTGACCAAGGGCCTGCCCTGTTCCCCTCCCATGTACTTGGGCACCAAGCTGGCCTGCCCAGAAGGGCAAGGCTTGGGAATCAATGACGCCACAGCCAAAACGTGGCATTTTCAAAGACACTGAACAAAGGCCACCTCTGCAGCCATCAACCCAACACATGGACTCCATCAGCTCTGACAACTGTGGGTGCTACTCCTTTCCTGAGCCTCTTGGTGAATGGACCTGTTACAGGCTGGACAGCCAGAACCACCCACCCTCCGTCCCCATGCCTGATCCCCATCTCCCACAGAGGACGCAGAGACCGCACCCAGCCAGTGACCCGAGCTGCATGGCAGCCCGCGCCTGCCGGCTGCTGAAGACGTGTGAGAAACCAAAACGGGCGTCTCCCTCTGCTGTCCTTCCTTGTCCCGTGGGTTCACGCGCAACCTTCCAGATCCTACATGGAAAAGCTTCTGAAACTAACCCTGCGCTCGCCCCTCGTTCCACACTCACAGGCCCGAAAGCACCCTCAGGCCTGTTGCCACCAGATCCCAACCCTAGAGGACTTTGCTGACGAGGGAAGAGTGTCTTTAGGGCAGACGCACGAGGCAGCCGGGGCTGGCAGGCAGGGGCGGCGGGGGCGCGGCCTTACTCGTGGTGTCCATCTTCCGGAGCAGCCCCCGGCCCTTGGCGTGGAAGGGTACCCCCGCGCTCCTCTTCAGCTGCTGGGCGGTCTCGGTGGCTGCAAGGACAAGGGTGGCGGGTCAGCGCTCAGCTGCACGGCACCACGGAGCGAGCCCGCCTCAGTCTGATTACAAGGAAGGCCGAGGTGCGAGTGTTCGAGCACAAACATGGGTCTGCCCCCTCACGACGCGTAACCTGTCGGCTAAGAAACCCAACAGGGTACGTGCAACTATGTTCTCCACCTTCTGTAAGTACAGCCACTAAGGCCGCACCTCCCAGGGGATGGCGGGCGAGCCGGGCACAGGAGGAGGCACAGCCAGGCCGGGGTCTGGGAGGGGCCTCCCCTCTCCCCAGGTGGCTGCAGGGAGGCCTTGTGGGCACCTGGGCGAGGGCCCGAGGCGGGCGAAGGTTCCTGGTGAAGTGTCCTCACTGGTGGTCCTCGCTAACTGAGCATTT